AGTCTGAATCACAGAAACTCAAGGATCGTTTCAAAGGAATCCAATCTGTAAATAGAATTCGGTCACTTCATCATATTATCCCATATTCAAAGTGTACAGTTGCCGGGTTTCCAACATCTAAATTTGGTGTTGATGATGAAACTGTGTTTCATCTAGGAGGCAAACAATGTGGTAATGACTGTCTTGTTTCAACCAACCGACTAATCAACCAAAAGAACATGGTTGAGATAAGTAATTGGGTACTAGTTGACTATTTTGGTGAACAATACCCTGGTAAGGTTGTCAGTAAACAGGACACTTTATTTATAGTTAGCTGTTTGGAAAAGGTTGGCACTCATTTTAAATACCCTATTAAAGACGATGTGCATCCCTATTCTATTGATGACATTGCTGTCATTGTTAATGATCCAGAACTTGTGAATATACGAGAGTTTTATTCATATTCTGTGAAGCAGTATTTGAAAAAGTAGCAACAGAATGACATTATACTGTATTTGAAAATATATTAGAAAATTGTGTGACTGTTAATGTATCATATGTTGTTCATGTGCATTAATCAAAAACTACTTTTGCATACTTTAACATACCTACCATATTTGAAATTATTGTACACATGCATTGATTGACCAAAATAGTATTGTACATAAAATAGTACTGTATACGTTGTTCATGTATATTGATCATAAACTAATTTTGCCTTAGTTTAGCATACCATATTTGAAAATATTGTATACATTTCCAATTATGAGCATCCAGCAAAAAAAATCATAGTTTGACCTAATGTATTTTTTACACAACATTTAAAAAAAGAATTATTTTTTTTGCAAATGTAAGACCTACCACAAAAGATTTATCACTGTTAATTTGAGACCAAATGGTATTAACAGAAAAAATCTATCGATAATCAAAAATTGGCAAAAAAACAAAAATTGGGTACCGGGCAAAAAAAATCAAAGTTTGACCTAATGTATTTTTTACACAACATTAAAAAAGTGAATTATTTTTTTAGCAAATGTAAGACCTACCACTAGAGATTTATCACTGTTAATTTGAGACCAAATGGTATTACCAGAAAAAATCTATAGATAATCAAATATTGGCAAAAATAACAAAAATTGGGTACCAGGCAATATTCAAACTGGTTTGGTGTAAATCTAGTTTTGAAAAAGCTCTATATTCTTTGCTACACAAGTTAGTCATATAGCAATGAAAAAAATATATAAGTAGGTTATAACTTTTTATTTACTAGAAAGCTCTACCAATGCATCAAAAGTTTCAAATTATCCACAAAAATGCCATTTAGCCTGTTTTAAGGGGGTCACAAAATTTTACTAGTATTAAAAAAGTGAGCTATTGTTGTATTTTTGTAAACATTGGAACCTGTATAAACAGTTTTTAAAATATCAATCACTTGTTTATTACCAGAAAAAAGTTATAGGCATTTAAAAGTGGCAATTTTGCAAATTTCACAAAAGTTGCATTTTTTGACTGCTAGACACCTTATCTTTGATTGGTCATATCTCAGCAAATAAACAAGGTACTGAACTAATATTTCAGATTTAACCATTTAACATCATGGGTAATAACTGGTAAAAAAAGCTAAGGAATCCAAGAAAGTCAGCCAAAAAATTTCTGAAAATTGTCTGAATTCTACTGTTTTGACCCATTTACAAAAATCATTCCGTAAAATGTTTTTCTTCCGAGTTTTAAAATTCCGTAAAATTTAAGTCGACTAAAGGCTAGCCCTGATTTTGCCCTTACTGATCCTTTATTAAGATTTGCCATAAACAAATTTTAATGTTTAAAATTGATTAATATAAGTTACACCTTATCGAAAAAGTAAGATAAGCTGTTATAAATATAAATTGATATTAAAAAAAAGGTAAAAAAAAATTTGCTATTAATGTACCCCTATCTTTAAGGGACTCTTAAGTTTCCCTTATGTCATTTTAAGGCGGGTTATGTCGTTTGTCGCATCATCAAATAGCAGATATTTCTTTAGAGCTAGAAAGCTATAATGGGAAATTGCCTAGTGAATTTGCGAGGCGACCTCGTTCACTAAAGGAGGTAAAACGTTGGAAAGCCACCGAGAATAAACAATTTTTTTAATATACTGGGCCAATAGTGCTGAAAAATTATTTATCAAAATATTTATATATCCATTTTATGACACTCAGTATAGCTATAAGGATAATGTATAAGTCTAGTTGTAAAAAAAGAACTAGATTGCTTACTTACGCACATGAGCTTATAGAGTGGTTTGTTCAGAAATCAAAAGATTTTTATGGTCCTACATTTTGCACATACAATGTACACAACCTTGTGCACCTTTGTGGTGATCTTGCAAATCATAATGATAATTTAAATGCCATTTATGCCATTATGCGGTAGTGGTGTAGTGGTAGAGCGCTCGCTTCATAAACGAGTGGTTCCGAGTTCGATCCCCACCACGTCCCTGGTAGTACCGCGCTCAACTCGTTTCTCCGCGCAGCGGCCTTGTTCGTCAAGGTTCGTGTTTCGGAGTTATAGAGTGGAGAGAGGGTTATAGCCACAAAATAAGTAGCCTCCTCGTCTGTAGTGGCCTTCTCGGCCTTGAGGAGGTGAAGTAAAATTAAAAAAAAAAAAAAAAAAAAAAATTTCAGCATTTGAATTTGTAAACAAAATAAAAAGTATAAAAAAGTTGGTTTGATCTTCTTGTAATCCACTTTCTCAAATTGTAAAACGCATTAATAAACTAGAAAGTGCTATTAAATCATTTTCTAAAATAAATATATTTGACAAGGTTTCTATTATTGAACATGATTCATGGTTTTTACTAAAATCAGGTGTACCTTATACCTATAATTACATTGGTGTCAAAAAGATAAAATCAGTAATGATATACTTGTATGTCAAGTTATTAGTGACAATCAACTTGAAAATTTTATTTCACGACCCATTTAAGTCAAAAGAGATTGGAATTTTCGTTTTTTGTGGTAAAGTATCACGCAAAAGAACTCACATTTTAAAATCAGATATTGATCAAAAAGTGGTGTGTCTTTCAGAACTTGAAGATATTGTTTTAATACCATATGTTCATAAAATGTTATGAAGTTAGATGTATTAATAATTTTTGAAAAAAATTTAAAATGTTCCCGCCTTAAAATGACTTAAGGGACCCTTAACGGTTAAGGGATTCTTAAGGGCAAATTTTTAAACTGGAAAAAAAATATTTTACGGAATGATTTTGTAAATTGGCTATTATGAAAGCATGGTTTTAAAATGAAAATGAATTCGCTTATAAGTGATCAAAATTAAGTCAAATATTTGTAGTTATAATATGGTTACAATTTTAATATCTAATAACGAGTTTTAAATATTTCTAATTATATTAATAATGATAATATTTAAATGCCAACAAAATATTTTTTAGTGTATAAGTTATTGAATTTATTATTACTTCAGGAAACGATAGAAGGAAACGTGAAAATGAAATAGATACTTTTATATCGAGATTGAAAAGTAATATAATACAAATAGGCAGAAATTTGTTAATCTTGATAATCATGTAAAGAAAATCTCTATAGAATATTGTTTTATTAATCTCTGTTAAAAGACAGTCTGCCGCATATATTTTATGTAGAATTTTAAATTATCAAGTTTGAAATATTTTATTTTTTACATATTAAATATGTAAACAAATATGATATTTGTTTTAGGAGAAACTGACAGTTATTTAACAGAGTTTGAAACTGTAGCAAAAAAAACAAAATTTTACAATTGGCTAAAATTATTTTGATAAAAATGTATCTTCTACTTTTGATGAAGTGACTGGATGTGGCGATGAAGGTGATGAGGATGAAAACAATAAAAGTAATTTTTCTTTTCTTATTTTAAACAAATCAAATTTGTTGTAATTTTTACACAAAGTTGCTTTATTTTTTACTATATTAAATGCACACACAAACAGTAGTAATTTTTGTCAGTAATTTTATCAAGTGCAGCTAGTGGACTAGCTGTTGACTGTTAAACTAATGACCATTAGCAATTTAAACGTTTTATAAATTGCAAAGATGATTAACAAATTATCTTTTTTTTCTCCAGGTAAATTTTTATCGGAGGAGAACCATGAAAGTAACAAGGAATTCAAGAGTAACTTCTCACCCCTGCATACTAAATTGTTATGCATCTGCTTACTTTATAAACTCAGCAATAGTGCAATACTCTGTTTGTTTACCATTTAAAATGAGGAAGGAATCGATCTTCCTGTTTCAGTTAACTTTTTAAAAAACCTCAAGTTGCAAAGAAGGTCCGAGTGTTAAAGAATACTTTAAATTGCGGTGGAAATTTTGGTTACTTATCAATTTTTAAAAATTTATTTTACTGTATTAAAAATAGTCTTGTGTTATTCAAATTTCAATACGTAGATCTTAAAATTAAAATTGGAATTGATGGTATTCAAATAATCAAAAGCTCACCGGTACATATCTGGTCAATTTTATTCGTTATAGGAAATGTAGGTTTAAATGAACCTCTTTCTATTGCTATTTATTCTGGTTTATGCAAGCCAAATTTTTCTGATTTTATTGAACAATTACACAAAGAGTTAGGTTTTCTTAAATCTTATGTTTATGTATCTGGTTTTTTATTGAAATAACCAATGTTTATATTTACATGTGATGCTCCAGCAAGATCATTCTGTCAGTGTGTGAAAATTCACCCAAGGTATAATGCTTGTCCATACTGCAGGATTCCAGGTGTGTATGCTACAAATACAGTAATATTTCCATTTGGTTTTACATATCTTTCTCGTACTGAATGTAGTTATAAATCACTATCGGAATCGAACCAATTATTCTTATCTCCACAAGCTGAAGTTGCAAATTTAGGTTGTGATTTCCCTCCTGAATATATGCTCACTGATTGTCTAGGTGTTATTTTTCAAACAAATATGGCCGGTTAAACTGTCGGTTCAGTGAGAATCTGAAAGAACTGTTAGATTGTGGCATGAAGCTAAGAATATGGCTGCTGAAGCAGTTGCTTTAAAGCCTCTGCCACCACTTAAATCTCAAAAACTTCCTGGTTCACATAAGGTAGTTTTTATTTGTCCACAAAATGTCCACATTTTGTGTTTATTATCAATAAATATTCAACATTTAATAGGCGTGTGCTCACAAAATTTTTTTCAAAAGATTATAAAATTTTTGTAAATGTTTAAATAATTAGTCAAACTTTCTGGCAGGAAAAGTATAAAATTCTGCTTTCTTGGAACCCAAAGTAATTTATTAAAACAAAGTTCTGCAAAAAATTTTTAAAATGATCGATTTTCAATAGCATGCTTTATTTATTTTGAATTTTTTTGTAATATTTATTTTATTGTTATTGTCTTTCTTATTGATAAATGTGTTATGAGACACTTCTTATTTCGTCTGACGCAATCATAATTTATAATTTAATTGTATTAATATTTTATTTTTGGAAGGTTCCAAGCGTACAACTACCTTTTTCTACCCAACCAATTGTAAGTTTTTAAACATTTTGATCAAGTTGTATTTAAATCAAAGTAAATTTAATTCTCAGTGTCTTAATTTCTTATAGGTTTCAAATATTCCACAAACAGATATTCAGTTAAATGTATGCTGTTAACTATTTATTGTTCAAATATAAAAGTTATTTTGAAGACATGTATGTGTGTGTGTGTGTGTGTGTTTATATATATATATATATATATATATATATATATATATATATATATATATATATATATATATATATATATATATATATATATATATACTGATACAAGTTTAATGCGGATGCATGATAGTATGCTAGGTGCTATCTCATGATATATATGCTAGGTGTAGCTATCTTAATGTCAAACCATTTTGAGCACAAGGTTTAAAACTTGTAACTTTTTGATTTTGAAAATAAATGGCAGAAATATTATGTATTTATATTGTGATTATCATAACAGGACAGTTTTTTATGAATGCATACATTTTGCGTGAATTAACATCAATTCAGTCTAAGTTAAATAATCTGAAACAAAGACAGGGAAGGTTAGAGGCATGTGTTTGCAGTGTTCCTGTTGATCAGAATACCTCAAATATCTAATTTCTGGTTTTTACCTCTCTGCTACAATATTCTGAAGTTGCTAAGCACTCAAAGGATATGTTTTTTTTTTATTTATTTCAAGTTATGCAAGTATACCCATGTTGTGTTTGATTGCCAAGAAGAACATCTCTTGAAAAAGATTTTAATATGAATGAGATAATACATTAATGTTGTTACCTGATCATCTTTTAGTTGTCATGGATGAAGCTTGAAGGAGTAATAACTGTCAATGACCATATTTCTTGCGTCTTAAATAAATTGCTGACGCATGACATGCAACGTAATATCAACAGGACCGAAAGTCATGGCAATCTCAAGTTTTTTGATAACCTGAAAGATCTGCTCAAAAGTGAGTTTATTTCAGATCTACTGTGAACATTTTTGAATAAATAGGAGTCTGTGAGTCAACATTTTGACTCATAGTGTTTGATTTAAGACAATAACAAAAAATTTGATTTACAGACACAGAAAATTAGTCTATTGATAGAATACTTCTAAAGATGTTAACAATTGATAAGCTGTTGTGATAAGTTTTATTATAACAACTAAATACTTGTGTACTAATTTCATAAAAATTATATATATATGTTAATTATTTAATTAAAACAATTATATTATATACAATGTGATTCTATAAAACATTCTGTTACACGTATAAATCCATATTAACTATATTGTTTGAACATGTGATTATATACTCAAATTAATTAATATTAAGTGACTATTTTGTTATATTTATAGCGTTAACAATTCGTTTTTTTTCCCGGTACCACGACAAAAGAAATTAAATTAAAAATAGCTCGGTTTTTAACAACGCTAGAGATCGCTCTTGTGGTCGACTGCAGAGATGTTTAAATAAGACCGATGTTTCAATCGAGGAAGAAAAAGATGACGTTAGTAAAGAGGGTAGTTAAGAGGGCAGTGATAACGAACCACAACGAAAGACTTTTTTAAATAAATATTAGTATTGTGTTTTATATAAATCTTTATATGGATACTTTTATTGTAAGTTGTAATAACTAAAACAAAAAATAATATAAATAAATAATTGTAAAAATTCATAAAAAGAAGTTTTTATCGAATCACTTATAAATAAACTCTTTTAAAAATGTCAACCTTATAAAATTATAATAATTAAACTATATAAATAATGTTAGTGTTTCATATATTTTATTAAAAAAAATAAAAAAAATTTAAAAAACAACCACGCTTTACTACTCAAATTTAGAGTAGTAAGGCGTGGTTTTTTTTGGTTGCTTAAAGGCTAGCCTTTAAGGGACCCTTAAATTCGGCGCGGAAATTTCGTCAGGGTCCTTATAAAGAGGTTTAGAAAAGTGGGAAAAATAAAAGCCCTATGTTTAACGCTGAAAACAAGGCCTGATAAAATTAATTTTGGCAATATATATATATAAATTTTTTTTTAAACATAGAGCTTTTATTTTTATAATCTTTTCTTTCACTCAACATAGTATTGTGGTTTATCCTCCACCAGCTAATTGTCTTGTTGACAGGGCTGGACTGGGCCGCCGGGACGATTCCCGGTGGGCCGCCTGGTTTTTAGCAGGTTGTTTTGATTTGCTTTTGACTTCAAACGCGATTTATGGCTTGCGATAATTATGCGATACCATCCGCAGTGAGATATTTCGTATTTTTAATGATTGCATTTTGTGAAGTGAATCTTTTGAAGTGACAGGTCGTGTAACGGTGAAAACGGCATTTGAAAACAGTGTGTGAAAGTACGTGTAGCATAAAAGTGAAAAAATGATGATTGCGTATTCGGGAAGCGGGAGCGATCGTTGACCACGGAAATAACATTTAGTTGCGAAAAACTGGCCAGATTTTTTAGTCGTTTTGAGAACATTTCATTTTATGTATGTTTCCATGTTTGTCCGCAAAAAAGTTAAAATGTAAACTTAAATGGGCCTCTAATATTATAGTCTTCTCCTTACGTATATATTTGATAAGATAAGTGAAGATTTGAAGCGGAAAAGTAAAGGCGGGGCAGAAAAGCAACGTGAAAAGAAACAAAAGCCTCTTCTTCAAGGGGGAGAAAAGTGTAAAAAGATAACCGAACTTTTTAGACTAAGTACCCCCACCCAGTTTGGTGGTGATACTCTGGTTGATGATTTAGGTTCACAAATTTCTGACGGCGATCAAGCCGGTCCTGCCGTCTCAGCCTCCGTGAGCTGCACTGTGCTAACTCCATCCCAGAAATCTGTATCCTCTGACTCCCGGCCTCAGAATCAGTGTTCGGAAATTTTCATTCACAAACGCAGTGCCTTGAATCATTTTTCAAGAGTCATCCGGTTCAACCAAAAGAGGATGGGGAAAATTTACTATTTTCAAATGTTCGTCGAGTGTTTTATAGAAGCCAAGACGATATCAATAGGGTTTGGCTTTCCTACTGTCACAGCTCGAAGGCCATGTTTTGCACAGTGTGTCTGCCCTACACCAAAGCTAGTGAATCCAATGCGTTTACTAATGGCATGAATGATTGGAAGCATGTTCACCAACGAATCGAAGAACACCAATCGAGTAAACACTATTGCAGGAGTGTAGAGGCACACATGTCGAACAATGACAAGGACGTATATAGCTTGCTTTTTTCAAATCAAAAAAATGTGAGAGCTGCTCAAGTTAAAGAAAAACGGCAAGTTCTAGAACGTGTGATAGAAATTGTTAAACTTATTGGAAAGCGAAAACTTAGTTACAGATCTATCAATGACGCAGCCTACTGTCTGGACAATGTCAATATTGACCACGGGAACTATTTAGAAATTTTAATTCTTCTGTCTAAATTTGACCCGCTTATGAAAAATCATCTTGAAATCGTGACGGAGAAAAGTAAGCAACGACATGTCACGTGCGCAGCATCAGGAACGAAGGGACGAGGAGGGTTAGTAACATTTATTTCAAGCACTACTGTCAATTATGTAATTGAATCTGTTCGCCGTATGATTAAGGCATCGATTGCAGATGAGATTCAATCGGCAGGAATGTTCTCCGTGCAACTGGACACAACGCAAGATGTTAGCGTAAAGGATCAATGCTCGATTGTAATCCGATATGTTAAAGACCATATTTACGAGTGACTGGTATCCGTCAGCAATTGTACTAATTCGACAGACAAGGGTATGTTCGAGCTGTTCCGGGATGAAATTGTCAAAATGGGCATAAACATTGAAAACTGTGTAGGAAACTCTACAGACGGGGCGGCAAACATGCAGGGCCAATATTCCGGTTTCACAAAATGGCTCAGTGAGGCATCCCCAAACCAAGTGCATGTGTGGTGTTACGCTCATGTATTGAATCTTGTTCTTGTTGATACTACACAAACCACCAAAGCTGCTATCAGTATATTACAGCTTATAAACAAATGTGCTGTTTTCTTGCGCGAATCATATATACGAATGGACATATGGGCGTCAAAACAATCAAACAATAGAAGACTAAATGTAATTGGCGAACACGCTGGTGGGCAAAGGACCATGCATAAAAAAAATTATTTGGAAGCTTCAACAACCCATCGACGTCCTTGTATATTGAGCTAATTGAAACTTTACAAGAGTTAGCCTCCTCTGAAGACTTTAACCCAACTGTTCGCGACACCGCCCAAACCCTATTAGATAAGTGCATCTCATTTGAAACAATTCTTACCGTTCAAGTTTTTTTGCGTATATTCCAACACACAGCATCACTTTCCAAGTACCTGCAGACAAGTGGGATGGGCGTGCTCCAAGCCTACCGAAACGTTGACTGCACTATCAAGGCACTGCGAGACGTGTCCAGAGACTTTGATGGCATTAATGCGAGCGCTAAAAAATTTGTCGAGTGGGCCAACAACTCATTGGAAGATCTGAAAATTGATGTGACGGTTGAAGCTGCATTGCCAGAGAAACGAGTTCGCGTCCCAAAAACAATGAGTGGTGAGCGACGCACTCACGAGGCTGTCGGAGATTGCGCAATTGATTGCTACAGGATAACGGTACACAACTGCGTTATGGACAAAGTAGTGAAAACTTTGGAAGAACGCTTTAAAGCTCAAGACACGTTGTTCGCTGACATGGCGTGCTTGAATCCGGAAAATTTCAAGGATATCAAGAAAAACGGTATCTAACCTACTGCCTTAGTACGTCTTAGCAGCATTCTAACAAAATTTAATAAAGATGCAACAGCTTCAAATTTACAATCCGAATATAACTTTGGAAGAACGCTTTAAATATATAACTTTGGAAGAACGCTTTAAAGCTCAAGACACGTTGTTCGCTGACATCGGTATCCAAGTAGGTTGGATACCGATGCAACAGCTTCAAATTTACAATCCGAACTCATCGACTTTTCGCTCAAGTGGAGCAAATTTAAGAAGACCGTTCCTGAAGAGTATTTGGGCATGAACTTAGCGGAAAACCGAAACGACAACGATGAATTGGAGAACGACGAGGAAACTGCAGTTTCTTCTTCGTTCTCTGAAGACAAAGAAGCTCATGGTAAATGCAAGAGTTGCAAAAATTGCCCCGTCTGTTGCTTCACGATTTTACACAAATACAATTTCTACAGCAAAGCCTACACCCATTTGTACAATGCTTATAAGCTCTTGCTGACATTATCGTCTACTCAAGTTGCGTGTGAACGGTCCTTTTCCAAATTAAAATACATTAAAAATAGACTGCGAAGTTCAATGTCGTCCACGCATTTAGAAGCTTTCATGCTGATGTCTGTCGAAGTAGATGTTATGGTTGGGCTGTCCAACGAAGATATCATCGACTCGGTTGCAGAAATCGCACCTGGGCTAAAAACACATCTGGTCCTTTGATCCACTACCATCCACATTCGGTAAGTTTCGATAATATGGCGTCAGAAACATTATGTTATTACGGACGTTACCAAATCATAATTGATGGGTTTTTTTTTTTTGTTAATATCGAGTGCAACACATTATAACCACAGAATTCTGGAGACAGCATGTATACCTTTTATAATTGCAATACAGATTCTATTGGTCGAATGCAGTTTTGCACAAACTATACCATGTATAAGGTACGTGCTATAAATATTACTGTTAAAGCATCAAAGTCGATTATCAGATGTTTTTGTGCAACTTAGTCAAATAATTGTTTTGTAGTAGAGCAGAGAGCTTGCACATTATAGTATAGTTGTGACTTTTCGAGCGATATTTTCGACTACCTATTAAAACATATTAAAACTTCTATATTATTCTATGGTAAATGGTAGCTATATACATATATAGATATATATAAATATATATTATGCAAGAATAAAAATGTGAAGCAGTCTACAATTTGTAGGCCTAAAAAATGTCGCCGTAATTTTATCTAACTCCTGAACATGATACGAATTTTTTTGCTGCTGCTATGCAAGTCGGAAATTCCCAGCTGAACCCCCCTCATCCTCCATGTCCCTTAATGACTTAGTATTGCTGTATGTGGGCCGGACCGCTTGGTTTAGAGTCCCGGGCCGCTTGACCACCCCCAGTACAGCCCTGCTTGTTGAGGCCACATTACCAAGGTCCGCAGACACTTGTTTCGGCTTCGGCTTATACTTCTAACCTTAAAGCAACGCCTAACCAACGTTAGGGCTGTCGTTCAACAAACGTCAAACTAACGTAAATTTACGACGACACTACGTCATTATTTAACGTTAAAAAACCTTTTCATTTAACTTAACCAACGTTAATGCTGACGTTAAATCAACGTAAATTTGTGACGTCAAGAAAACATCGTTGTTTAACGTTAAAAAACCTTTCCATTTCCAACCTTCACACAGCGTCTAACCAACATTAAAGCTGGCGTTTAATTAACGTTAAGTCAACGTTAAAATAATCGCTGGGAGAATGAGGAGTTTTTAATGTAACATATGATACCTACAATTAAGTTTGGTGGTGGGCGGTGATGCTGCGGGGTTCTATTTCATGGAACGAACCTGGTATTATCGAATTGATCAATGGTAAAACAACCAAAGAAGTTTATCTCGACATTGTACAGCGAAACATCTTTGCTTTTGCGGCAAAATAAGGGTCGAGGACGATGTTATCTGGCAGGAAGATAACGATCTAAAACAAATAGCAAAGATTGTCAAAGATTGGTTCGCTGATCATAGAGTTTTCAAGTTCGATTGGCCTGCTCAATCGTCAGATTTATATATAATCGAAAATATATGGGAATACTTGAATAGAACTATTCCTCAACACAAAAGAAAGTCAAAAAATGACATGTTTATAACAATCAAACGTCATTGGGAAGATTTTGACATTAATTTCATTCAGAAATTAATACTTTCAATACCAAAACGCTTGCGAGCAGTTATCGATGTTAAAGGCAAACCAACAAAATATTATGTTCTTGTCGCTGTAAACAAACTTTTGAGCAGCACTTTTTTGAGTTTTACCTAATTCTAACGTTAATCGACGGCTGTTCTATTTTTATTTCAAACTTTCTTTTTATTAAACTAAATACTTTTTACCCATAAATTTTTCTCATTCATAAAATAATGCTTGTATATATATACAAATA